GTTGGAAATTATATCAACGGGTATTTGGGACCTTCACTTCGCAATTTTGGGCCAGTAATTGCGCCGAAAGAGGTTCAATAGCTATTCTGTTGCGCGTCGACCTGCAATCATGACAAGACGAATGATCGCGGAACAAATTGAGGTTATAAATTAATGCATCGAGGCTTGCATCTTTTAAATGCTCATGGTTATGCAGGCTAGAAATTAGAGATGAAGTTTCAACAAAATAAAGGCGTTGCCATAGATAGACGAGAAGCTTTAAAGTTTCGTGTCGGCAAATTGTCAGTTCTTAAAATATTAAAAACCTCGAATGGCATCACTTATAATTTACAAGCTTTGATATCATGACCCGAAAGCGCTATTTCATATCTGCTTCTGAGATTTTTGTCCGCTAAAACTTTCAGGCGGCCATGAAAACTGCTAATTTACTGCATGTCTTTTGCGTGCTCCTTGCTGACCTGCTCGGCCTGGGCCCCCTCCTCGGTTGTTCCGCGCTTGCCGTCCCCCCCGACCCTGGTACTGCACACCAGGACTGCCACCTCGATACCCACGTCCATGCCCCTGTCTCAAAGAATCATCCGTGATGTACGGGTTCTCGAGGGCGAAAAGGCGGACGGCTACTTGGAGGGCATCCTGTGTGGCGCTCGAGAGCCTGCCCTGGGGGTGCTTCAAAAAGGCCAGAAAAGCCTCTTCCAGACGCAGCCGCAAGACTTGCAGGTGTAAAGCCACCTCCTTCGGGCACCGGAAAGTCATCCATTCGTCTATCAGCAACAGGGCCTCGTCTCCGAGGCCAGCTTCATCGTCCTCGTCATTTTCTGTCTCCTCCACACCTGTTGCACCCTCATTGTCCTGCACAAGACTGCCTCCGCTCTGCTTTCTGGCCGTCGCGTCCTCCCCCCTGCGCACCCCACTTTGCTCCTCCAGCAAGGTCCGGATGCCCCGCACCTTGGAATCTCCACATAGCAAGAAGACGCTCAGGACCGGGACGGGGGTGGTGTTGCTGATGACGAAAATGGAAGGCGTCCGGACCACCTCCGAGAACACCAAAAACTCGGGACCTCCCCCCAATGCCCGATGTGACTCGGGGGTGCTCACCCGGGTGAAGCGGGAGCCAGGGTGGTAGTTCACGGAAGATTGGTGGAGCTTGGCTTTCTTCTGGCATGAGGTTGTGAAATTGACTTCCCCCACCCGCCGGCAGGCGACGCCAGGGTAAAGGCCTGCGCAAAGGACCGCCGTGAGTAAGGCCAGGCTCGGGGCCGAGCTTCCCTCTCTGGCGTTGCTGAAGAGGGAGGGATCAAAGCCCATCGCCACCAGCTCCCGCACCATTTGCTTCGCCACGTCCAAGGCGGTCGAGAGGGTGGACCGCGACAGGAAATACCTATCGCAGTACCCAAAGGCGGCCTGCTGCCCCCCCCGGGCTAAGGCTGCCTCGTACCCCTGTAAAGCACTTAGAAGCGCCAGATGGTCGCTCATTGTCCCCACCGCCAGCTCCTGCTTGGCCTTTTTCGCCTTGACCTTCATCTCCGCCGTCAAGGGGAGGACGAAGGGGTCTCTGTAGGCAAGGGCACAGGCGACCTTGAGCGCCGCCCCTCCACACCCCAACATTTGGCCCCACAGGACCATTTTTCCGATCCGCGGGTCCATAGGAAGGCGTGCCAGGGTCATGCCCAAGTCCGTGAGTTGCTCCTGGGCGGTAAAGGCTCCGATCTGCATCAGCAAGTCGATCGCATTCTTGACGGATAGGTCGTGGGGAGCGTCCAAGGCCTTGCCCAGGAAACGCATGATCGAATCACCTTCCAGCCGCGACGCCTCCAGCCGCGATATATCTGGGTCTTTTTCAGCCCCATTTTCTTCCGCTGTGCTTCCCTCTCCGTCCTCTAAGGACAGCGCGGCCAGCAGCTCCGGGTTCATGGCGGGCTTGGTCTTGCTCTTGGCGGGGGGGGCTTGCCGCTCGTAGGGGTCGAAGCCGGGAGCCAGGCCGAGAAGCTTGGCCTGTAAGCAAAGCTCTTCCAAGGGCGTGGTCAGGAGCTCGGACTCCTTGAACTCCTTCAGGCTCTCGAACCGGCGTCGCGAGCACAGGTGGAAGCACACGCCCGCCCGGACCCGTCCCGCACGGCCCCGGCGTTGGCGCGCCGAGGCTTTGGAGATCCAGGTGGGCTGGAGGGTGCAGAGTTTGAGGAAAGGGTCGTACGTCTTCTCCTTGACCCGCCCGCTGTCCACGACGAAGACCACGTCGTCGATGGTCACCGAGGTCTCGGCAATATTGGTGGCCAGCACCACCTTGCGGACCCCCGGCGGGGGAGACTTGAACACCTCGCGTTGCTGCTGGGAGGGAACCCCGGAGTGCAGCGGGAGGACCCAGGCCTTCTTCGCGTTCCCAAAATCAGGGTCCTGACGCAAAGCATCCCGGAGCCGAGAGATGTCGTCCCACCCGGGCAGGAAGACCAGGATCGCCCCCGGCCCATATCCAGACTTGTCGATGTAGTGGAGCAGCTGAAGGATGAGGTCATAGTCCACGTTCTCGTCGTCGAACGCGTACTGGTAGGCCCGCAAGGCCTCCTGGGCCTGGACCTCCGTGAGGCTAGGCATGGGGAACAGGACTCCCTCCCCCTCCGAGGCCCTGTGCCTGTACGGTGGGCGTCCGCCCCCTCCCTCACACCCGAGTCCCTCCCCCTCCCCAGGGTCCTCCACTGCCGAGACGAAGCCTTCGGGCGCATCCACGT